ATTTTCGCTTAACCGTCGATGCTCTCTGGTGGTGTCAATAACAGATTCGTTCTGTAATGACGCCACTGCTAAAAGAGTCTCCAAATTCCATGCAGCGTTTATAGATTCTACATCAGGCTGAGCTTCGGCTGGTGCATTTTCTTCGATGGGAATGTTTTCTTCTTTCGGCAATTCTGGGTCGGAAAATTGCTCAACTTCAGTAGCGATCTTAATTAAATTGGCGTCTTCATCTAATGCTGGCAAATCATGTACGGGTTTATCGCTAGTTGGCCCATTGCACTCAGAATTAGATGATTCTTGACTCAAACAAACTACTTTTTCCTAGTCCGGTTCCACAGTTTTCCTTCTGAGCATTATTTCGGGTTTAGCTTTCGCTGATTCAAGCAGATTTTGCGCATTTTTCTGCATAGTTACATTTTCATGTTCCACTGGCCTAGTGATGTCTTCGATTTTATCACTCACAGTTTTATCAGCAACCGGCAATTCTTCAGTGTTCACAATAGTCGCTTCGTCCTTGTCTGATGGGAGTTCTGCAGCATGTTCGTCCTGTGATTCCGAAAATGCTATACTTTCCGACTTTACCACTCCTTCACTTTCGCCGCTGTTAATGTATCTTCCACTACTGCAGGAATGTCCACGATTTCAGTGTTTTCCAAATCATCAGTCACTTCCTCGATGTTCTTTAGTTTGCCTCAACGGTTGTTTTCAGGTCTTCAAATTTCTTAGCGTTGTCGTTCATTTTAAATCTTATTTCTTTCATCACCTTCTTACGCTCGGTAACTACGATCTTCACCATTTTATCCAGCATCTTTTTGTGGTGGTCTTCCATTTTGTCAATTTTTTCGTCCATTTTCCTACTGTTGTCGCTCATTTCGTTCATCATTTTCCTACTGTTGTGTTCCATTTTGTCCATTTATTCGTCTATTTTCCTACTGTTGTCTTCCATTTTGTCGCTCATCTGCATGAGCAGTGCAATCAAACTGGGGTTCTCCATTGCGGGGTCTTCCTTCTTTGATTTACTTCTTGTTTCCATCAAAATTCAACTTGGACTCTGGTAAATCCCACTTCTGACACCAAATGTACCGTGGATGGCCGAGTATCAAACTCTTTCTTCAGCTTCCAACTTTTATTCAACTCGGTATCACTTTAAATACGGAACAGGAACAAACTAACTTCAAAATTACCGTCAACTTCACAAACAATAACAATAACCGACGGAAAACTCGCTCTTCCGACTCACGGGGTGCAACCTCTTCTGCACCCGGTCGCTCCTGTCACTTCACTCCCCCTGTCTGGTTCTCGAAATCTCCAGAACAGTCAGTGTCATATTTGACACTGGTGAACTTGTCAGTGTCATATTTGACAGTAAGTGGGGCGCAAATGGGGCTCCCATTTACTGAAATACCATCAATTTCGATCCCCCATTCCAAACGTGAGTACCCCAGGCCATTTCCGTTACAATATTTTAATATGAAAAATTGATTTGTTCGACAGCACTGTCTATTGCACATCAGTTAAAGCTTAGGGGGGCGGGTTATTCTGACAGCCCCCAATGAGCGTTAAGTTAAGTATTATCAAGTCCTATATGTACATTAAAATTCGACTGACTGGACCACTTGTACAGTCCTTTTGGGCAAGCTAAGAGGGTGGGAGCATTGGCAGTGCACATGTAAGGCTGCTTGAGTCGGAAATATTGGTTTTTGAATTGCCGCCATCCTCGGTGGGATGATGTCATTCGTCCAGCTCATCCATGCGACACCTGACGGCCATCTCCACCACCTCCAAGCTGGGGTAGTCCAGCTCCTTGACCAAGCAAAGTACGGCTGACAGGATGTTGGAGTTCTAGAAATGGGCGGCATTGAGCACACAAAGCATCTACTGCCAAGCGAACTTACTCGGGTGACTGGGCGTCGCGTAAAGGGCGGCCGATGAACTGCCGCAGAGCACGAATAGCGCTTGTCCAGGCCGTGCGTGGACGACACTTCGCTGCTCTCTTTGTATTGTTGCGTTTGGATGTAGCGATCGCCGTTTGTGTATTCCTGCACAGGACAGGGCGATTAGTCTTATATCACCCGCCTCTATGAATCTCCATCACATGCTGGGCTTAGGCTGAGATTCACTCACCTTTATGCAGCTAGCTGATTGGCTAGTGACAATTTTCGCCTCTCGATACGTGTTTTGACTGTCGCATGATTTCGGCTCCTCAAATGAGTTAGTAGCTGAAGAGGATGTCTGTTACAAGGATGAATAATGAGGCTTAATTGACTGAGTTAGGGGGGCGCCAGTATTTCGTAAATCGGTTTCAACATGAAAATCCACTTTCCACGATTACTCGGCAATTTCCGGAATGGCACAATAAATAATGGATTTTATGACTTGCAGACCTATTCACTGTTTCGTCGGTTTCGGTTAATCGAACCCAATACTCGGATTATGCAAGCAAACACTTACGTCATAGTACTGAGTGGCTGGCTGTCTCGGAGCTTCGCGGTCGAAGCTGTTTCTGCGTCGCTCGACGCACTGTTCATCCGGACTGTAGCTTCTGCGCTGCTCCGGTCGGCGCTGCGGACTTTGCTGCAAACGGACAGGATGATTAGCATGGTCAACTTAGGCCCCGATTGGGTGCATGGTTCTACCAGAGATTAGTAGAGAGATCGCCGATGAGTATAGGCGAAGCGGTCCAGCGATATGCAGCCGCAAGCTAGCGTCATCATGCGGTTTTCTCCCGAAACAAACACACAAGTTAGAAGTAGTGTAGGGGAGGTAAGTAGTGGGGCCGTGCGCCTAAGCAGCAAACGCCAGCCGATTTGCGCTGGTTTC